TATATATATATATATATATACATACACATACATACATACATACGTATATATACTTTTAAAAATAGTAACCTTAGAAGTTAGGCTAATTTTTCCAATCTATAAACCAGACTATGATTGTACCTAACTAGAAGAATTCTTAGAGGATGATGGATGCACAATGGGGTAGAAACTCAGGCCCTATTCCATCCCACCTCCTCTCTACATGGAGGTCAGAATGGAACTCATCCTTGGAGCTTAAAACATGTGTGACTGTGGGATCCTCTACTTCTACAGTACCAGTGCTGTGAAGGACTTGCCTATAGCAAACATTATCATCTTGTCTGGTCCACACAACCCCAGCAGATAGGGCATGCTAGCTTCATTTTACAAAAGAAAATTGTGGTACAAAGAGTTCAAGTATCTGATAGTAAACTACTATCTGATAGTAAATTCCAGGCCCAGGATTGAAACCCAGGCTCTCTGGGTCTAGAGTCCATGTGCTCAACCCTTCTGTCATGCTGCCTCCCTGGAGTTGTTGCCTCTCTGGTGGAGACATTCTGAGGATCAAGACATATGATGCTGTGAACACTAGTGCAGTGCTGAGCACACACAGTTCCAGTCATCCTTGAAGTTTCTCTATTGTCTTTGTCTCAGACCTTGAACCTAAATCCGGTGACCTTGAAAAGAACAGTGACAATGGGCATCTTCAACTGGGTGTGGCACCTATTGGAGTCAGTGCCCAGGGAAGGAGTCATGACCACCATCTCAGGGACAGACCTACAATGTGGTGTTGGAGCCTCGGTGGCCATGAGCTCTCAACATCATGGCTTAGTTATGCTATTTCTCACTTTGACTTTCAATTAAATTTCATCACATTGAAATACATAGGGCCCAAAGAAGACTTTTGTTATGTTTTTTATTGTGTCTATTATGAACATCAAAGCACAGTTCAATAGCAAAAATGGCCCTGTCAGGGTGGGTTGAATGGAGATTTCCAGGGGTGACCCGGCCGATAGGGAGAGACCCTTCCCAGAAGGAGCGAGCTATGCACACTGAGGCTGCGAGAACCTGGGCTGGCTGAAGGCGCTGTGGGACCATGGAGGGATGCAACTCGGGGTCAGCACTGGGCCAGCCTCATTGTGACAGAAGGAAGTTACAGAATTTACACAACGGTTGGGAAACATGTATGGGATAACAACGGAATAATGCTCATGTGGCCTTCAAGAGCTCAAGCCCAGAAAGCCCAGCACACTGTCAGCAGTCCCTGCTGGGGACAGAAAATAAATGGTGGAGACACCATGGCCCCATGTGCTTCCATCTGTCAGGTGTTCTTCCCATCACAGCAGACAGCTGACCTTCTGCACAGACAGTAGGTGACCAGCGCCCCATGGAGGGCGCTCTTGAGCAGCAGCGGGAGGTAGGTGTAGTAGGCAAAGGTGCTGGTGAGCTGCAGGCCCAGCCCATCTAAGAGAAGCCATGTCATGAGTTTCAGCTGTGCTAAGACAGCACTGGACACACCGTGGGGAGGTGTCACTGGATGTTGAAGTGACTCCAGCCCTCAAACCCAAACCCAAAGGTCAGCATCTATCACTCCCATCAGGACCACCAAGGGCGAGATTCAGTTTGCAACTCAACTTGATTAACAACCTCTACTGAATTACCTAGAACCTTCTTAATATTGAATAGTCAGGTCCATAGTTAATAAATGGATCCAATCAGAGGAAAAGTATGTGTGATAACTTGGTTGGAGGATTTTTCATCCCTAACATATCTCTAGATATGTTAGAGATAATATTTATGAACCATTGAGCAAATGCCAAACTGTACTCTGAGAGATTCAAATGTAAATCTTATGTAATGTCTATAACAGTCTAGAAGAGAAGGAAAGGAGGAAGGGAGAGAGAGAGAGGGAGAGGAGTTTTCACTTACATTTTGCAATCGAACTGAGGGCACAGTAAGAAGTAATTTTTCTGATATCATGCATTACAAAGTGACAGCCCAGATTTTGATCCCAAAATATGGCACTAAAAACACATTCTTATCTGTTCTGCATCTTCAAATGTAACAAAAAAGCATAAATATAAGGTTGAATTGCTAACTTGAAGCACCTGAGTGATTATATACTGCATATGCTATGAGATGTGGAGGAAAAGGACAATCCAGGCAAATATATTGCTGGACACAGTGAGTTGAGCATGAGATTTTAGAAAAAAGGGACAATACAGAAAATGTGAGAAAGAGGGTAATCCAAATTCTATGAGATGCACAGTAGCTGTGGCATACTGCTCTGTCTTTTGTAAGTGTCGCTTGTTGGTGTTATGATGATATTGGGCAATTACAGTCAAGATCCTTTGTAATTCTGCAAGAATTATGTGATGTCAAGTCATGATTAAAGATAATCACAGTGGGTCATGGTGGCTACACGATGAGTCCCAATGCCAATTCTCTGCCTGGGGAAATTTCCATTTTACACAGTTCATCTTCACAGTTGGAACTCAAGAATCACTAGCTCTTGAGTAGAAAGGAGTCTCAGTAAATCTGTTCCTAACTCTCTGCCCTTGGCCAGGTAAGGGTTATCTCCTGCCTCATTGCTTAGTGTGGTAGCTGAAGTCCAGAGCCTCCACTGTAAACAGAGGTGACACAGAGGAAAGTTCAGAAAGGTGGAGCCAATATGTCAGGTCACATTCCTGGTTCCCCACAGAGCAAGGAAGGGCTGGAAACTAGCACTGATCCTGAGCCTGCTAAATGGATCACCATGTTGGATGCTTGTCATCTGGGCCCTGATGTCTCCAGTAAGTGAGTTTGGTGTAATTCTGAGTTTGGTGTAATTCGTCTTGGTTGGCAGATGAACTAGTTATTTCTCCCAAGTGACGTCCCTCCTCCATGTTCCTGCAACTGATAATGAAGAGACCTGCACTCAAGTCTGCGGGGGCTCAGAAGCCATGTACTTCCCACCTGGCCACACATCCATCCTGTCCCAGGGCCTTGGCCTTGGAATTTCTTGTCCTGTGACTCTATCATAGTAGTTGAAGAGCAGAGGATGAGTAAAGGTATAAGCTCTTCATTGTAGGTCTTAAATTGAAATTCCAGACTTGGCTGTGTGGTGTGTGAAAAGGACTCAATTAATTTTAGCTCATTTTCCTCATCTGTAAAATGGGATGCAAACTATTACATCACAAGAGAGGAGCATTATGAAGATTAACCAGGAAACCCAAGCAGCACACACCCCAAGGCCTTCCGTACACACAGTACTCAGTGCCAGTTCCCCTTGCACAAAAATATCTAGGTTTCACTAGCTATTATGCTTTCCTCATTCAATAGAAATAATAGACACATGAAAGAATGAAATCCCTTTGTTCAAGTGGTTTAGACATGTCACTGTGTCCATTTATTACAGTCATGTCCTACTTAAGTCACTTAGCTTACTATGTGAATATGGAAGGGAAGCATTAATTTATGGTGTGATACTATTTTGTAATGTCTAGCCATTCTGATTTTACTGATTTAAGCCAAGACAGTTCAAGTTAAGATGATAAAGAAAAAAGAAGCTGAAGTGTGACACTGAAGTAATTAGACAGTAAAACTTACCATCTTTCAAGGAAGTTCCTGATTCAGTAGTATTGACAACTAGAAGATAGGAAAGCAAATACTTGTCAATTATTCTTGCCTATTGTTTGGCACTGTGTGAAGGTACATGTGTGTGTAATATTTTTGATAAAGACACAACAGAGATATTCAGTTAATATTAATAAAAGCTATTATTACATGTTGATTGATCACTTCTGGGCCAGGCACTGTGCTACCTGCTTCACTTGGATACTCTTTTTCACTTCCCCAATAACACCTACAGAAGTTGTCCTCTGTTGTAAATGAGGAACTAAATTGAAAGGCTGAAGCAGAAACTCTTCTAGTATCTTAATTATTCTTAGCAAATGGCCTTTTAAGAAAATCTAGAGATTGACCATTTTAGCACAATTCTTTCTGATAAGAGAAAGATAGACTGCTTATTTTTCTAATTCTTTGAATAAAATTTGAGCTGAGAATTATCCTTATCTATCATGACTCTTAGGAAATGAATTAATTTAAAATGTCACTCATAGTATATTCTGTAACCTGTTGTCATGCTGGCTTTTCTACCTAAAGCCAGCAAAATGCAAATCAGATGACCAGGAAGAAATATAAAAGTATACTACCATAAAATACAGGCAGACATACATGAAACTTACCATTTTCATCTGTCGGACTGGCTTCTCTGGGACTAATAGTGATGACAACTACAGGAAATGAGACCAAGTAGTAGTCAGTTATTCACGCCTGTTATTTGAAAGTGTGTGTATGTATGTGTGTGCATAAATAAATATATGTGGATAGTAAGATAGAATCTTGACACAAGACATACGACATTTTCATTTTTCTAATTAATAAAACATTTTTTGCAGTGCCGAGGATGGAAGCCAGGGCTCCTTGCATGCTAGATATGGGCTCTCTACCACTGATCTCCATCCCCAGCCTGAGAGAGTCATCAAAAATATGGACCCTACAGCTACAAATATAATCGGCTCAAAAATATGTGACACATGGAAGACTAAACAGCGAATTGGCAGCTTTGTAGACCTCAGCATCCTTTGCTACCTTGCCACCTACAGTGAGTCTGTCCAATCCTAGAATTGATCACAGAGTTGGATGGTTTGAAGGAGTCTGATTTAGAGAAATTTTCCCACCTAAGCAGAAGAAAACATCCTACTTTTAAAATCATGCATATTGCCAATATCTCTGAGTCATTTACAGGACTTTCTGGAGATGATGTGTTTGTGCACATGAGGACATCAATATTAATGTAAAGTAATACCTATTCAAAGAGCTTTGACACACCAGGCACTGTGTTAAATACTTCCTCCACATCATCTTGTCTAAATCCCAAATAATACTTAAGTGATTTGTATTGTGTACAGTCCCATGTCACCAATGAAGAAATAAAGTTTAAAGAGTAGAGGCAACTCATACCAGAGAATAGCAGGGCTAAGATTTGAAGGGTCGTGTAAAGAATTAAAAGATACAGTGGTGGTGAACCAATGGCACGCATGTTATTTGTTTTCCTTTTAAGACAAAAGATGTTAATGTAGAGTTGTTTTTTCTAAACTAAAACCTCAGTATTTAGGTTTAATTACAGTGTTGGCACTTTGCAATAAATAAATGGGTTTTGGGTTGCAGTTTGGACACTCATCTCTAAAATGTTTGCCATCACTGAGGACATGTGGAAAATACTTTGTAAAACCAGTGCATAGAAATCTAGAGAAAATAATTATAGAAAGAACACAATTCCACCATTGTGGACACTATGAAAATCTCCTAGTATTTTCGTTATTCTTACCAAATGGAATTTATTTTTTATTACAGAAGCTGAGCATTTCAGTGCCATTCTCTGTGGGAATAGAAAGACAAAGTCTACATTTGTCATTCTCTGAATAAAACCTGAGGTCAGCATTATATTTATGTGTGATCAAAAACCAAAACTCAGAAAACTGGATATCACAATTTCTCCAGTTAGGAGAAACAACGTACACACAAATGAATGAAATCCTTTTCTTGAAATAATTGAGAGCACATTGTTGTGTCCTCTAATTAACATTCCTCTAATACCAATTTCAGTAGTTTATTGTGTTAGTGTATAGGAAATGCTAGAAAAGTTAAAATGTTCAGGAAGAGGAAAAAAATGTGTAGCAAAGGTAAACATACACTGAAATGTCCATTTTTATCTTTCAGTCCAGCTTCTCTGGGATTAATAAAATTGACAACTAAAACAAATAAGAGCAAGTACTAGTCAGTTATTCAAGGATATTATTTAACAATATGTGTATTGTACATATATTTTATATGTGTAAATATAAATTTATATAATCTGTTGACAGAAAGGAGAAACTGACAGTAAAAGTATGAGTCCTACAATTCTAACAACAGTTTGTCTCTGTGTAATTCAGTAGATATTTCATATATCATATTGCTCCACAGGAAGATATCAAAGACCCCACATTAGTTTTGCATCTCTTCAAAATCACTTCATTCATTTGTATTTCTGTGTATTTCTTAGCTTTTCTTTAAAAAATCTTTAAGAAGCAGCAATAGAAAACTGCTTAGATTACCTATTATACATTTTGATCCTTATTTACACTTTCAGTTTCTCACACTAGAGAAACTATTCAGTATTTA